CCCAAGACCCATACAGAAAATAAGTGGCAAACTTGTAAGGCAATACAAAGAAGACATCTCTGAAATTTGTACAAAATTCTCTGATTCAAATATTCCTCACTTCTAGAGAATCAACTTTGAACTTAAACAAAAGGCCAGAAATCTTTTAGTTATGGTGAACCAGTGTCTTTCATGCCTCCTATGGCTGGCTTAATTTTTTAAAGTCACATGTGCCTTCTGTTTCTCACATCATAGGTGGCTAAATTCTTAAAGAACCTCCATTCTATTTATTTCTTTAAAATGAGTTTATGGGCATTCATCACTGGGCATCAAGGAGGGCTGAGATAGACCAAGTGTAACTCACATCAACTGGTAAATATGACATGAAGAGTAAGCTTGGTCAGCAGGAGATGGGGTGGTGACACTAGTGGCCTAGGAAAAGGTAGGAATAGAAAATGGCAGGTAGGGCCTGTAGAAAGTGACACAAATGTATCTGCTAGCAGGATAGGGGAGAACCACGTGGGACCTAACATTATGACCAGCAGACCTATAAGCCAGAGAAGGGTAGGCGGGCAAGTGATGGAATATCACACTTCCAGATAGTGGGCATTACAAGTTGAGAGAGAAAGAAAGATTGAGAAGAGAGAAGAAAGAATAAAGAGAGAAAGGCTCTCATGGTAATTTTTATGAAAACCTGGCATTTCATCTACATTACTTTATATCCCACCAAGAGTATACATAGTCCCACTTGAGAAGCATAGAACACTGGCATTCTGGCTGTCAACAGGCAATCTAACCAGGTGACTGTGGGTGATACAGGCTGATAAGACAGAAACCATCAAGAATCTGATATACATCTATAGGAGTGGGGTCAGAGTACTGAGGTGTAGAGCCGAAGTTAGAATATGACTGCTGCAGTGACAGACTGTGATGATATCAGGTTGCAAGCTGTTTGGGACAGGCTGAATTCATTCCAGAGCAATATTTGGCAACTGTATTCTTAAATAACAAAAAGTATCCTATCTGAAGAACAGAACAACACAAGGTTGTTTACTACTCAGTAATTATTCGGCATAATAGAAGTTAGGTTAGGAGAGCTATAACACATGTAAATGTAACATAAAAAAAGCAATGAACAGTACAAACACCAATTTGTCAAATACCTATGTAGACTCTGTCACATCTTCCCAGCCTTGATTATAAATTCTTACATTTCTTTAGATGGCCAGGGATAATTCTCTTCCTATGAGGTTCTATGACTTTCTATTTAATATGTTGCTTTTCTCCACCAGACTGAAAGCTCCTTGATGGCAGGAACTGTGTACTGGTTCATGATTTTCATGATTGTATCTCTAGCACCTAGCACAGAGTAGGTGCTCAATATATGGCAAATGAATGAATGAATGATCAGATATTTTAAAGAAATTCAGAAATCACACTCTGGGAGGCCAAGGCAGGTGGATTGTTTGAGCTCAGGAGTTCGAGACCAGCCTGAGCAAGAGCGAGACCCCGTCTCTACCAAAAATAGAAAGAAATTA